AATATTCAACAAGGTAGTATTTACTATCAAACACTCTCAGATCGTATCAGACGAGAGTACAACACATGAGCAACTCCAGAAACAAGAGTTTGGTTGGCAAACTCCAAAATCAGCTGTATCAATGGGAAAGGTAAAAATGTTTGAGGTTTTTGTGTCTCATCTTTCATCCATGTTTTCAACAACACAATCATTGGCTGTGGGAAGAGTTCCATAATGACTCTCTCAGCAGGAGGAAGGCTGTCGATTGCTGCAATGTGTCTTTTCTTAAACTCTRTTACTTTCTGGGATATTTCTTCTTTGTATTTACTAAACTCATTTCCAACMCAGTAACTCGTTGCATACARAAACTTCTGTTGGTGATCCATYGGAGAATGCTCAGAAGTTAGACTTTTGTAACTTTGTAGCAGGGTTCTAAGGGATGTAACTATTGCATCAAATTCACTTCTACTTTTGCTATTGTCACGAATTCTCATCAGGTCTGTGAGCTCTGGTAAAATATCTTCATATTTCCAGTGATGTAGTTGTTGTTTTTGAACATTTTCAATATCGTTTTCTGAATTTTGTTCTTCGAGAACTGTCTTTGTGATCTCATTAGACGCATTTGCATAACATGTGTTTTGGTTTGTGCTACATTGAGAAGAGTTTGTAACAGATAATGGAACCTCTTTCCCATCGGAATCCACTTTCTCAACATTCATTTCTTCCCTTCTATTTTCACATAAGTCAAATCGTAAAGGATTTACGATTTCCCTCAATAGCTGATCCCCAAACCTCAAAGTCCAAACACTTTGCAAGCACTTCAACAAATCCAACTGCTCTTCCCGAGGATACATCTCAAACGCTACTCTAAAAAGACCTTGTATACTATAAAACCAAACTCCTTTACCAGTTCCTTGGATACCAGTAATTCTTAAGAAAGAAGGAAAGTTAACTTTCATTGCAAGACCCTTCTTGGCAAATTTCGCGTGCGTTCTTGGAAGATTTGAGACGGCAATCGAGCAGTTAGACAATACATCAGCCCCTAAGAACAAAGGCTTATGTTCTCCACATAACTTAGCAGTAAATATTAACTCTTCCTCTGACTTGAGATGCAAGAAACGGAGTTTTCTTGAAGCGAGAAATAATTCTTGCAATTTGACTTGAACTTGTTGTTCGTCCGCC